CTGTTGGGAACGATCCCGCCCCACTCCGTCTCCTGATCCCAGATTTCATCCCCCTTCAGCCAGTTGATCCCGATGATCCCAGGGTAGAATCCGTATGCACGGCAGGACAACGTCAGAATCCCGTGTTCCACTTTTCCAGAGACATGGACATCGGGGGGCTCTGGAATGGGATAATGGTGGCATCTATCCATGGAATTCCCAAGGGAATGGGACAGCAATGAGATCCACCCGCAGAATTTCCATGGGAATAGGATGAGGGTGAGATGCATAAACAGAATTCCCATGGGAATTCCCGTGTTCTCAAATTCCACCTTCCCAAATCCCATATTCCCAAGTTCCCCATTCCCATGGGAATTCTACCCCCACCTTTTCGCTCCAGCGCCTCCTGCCCGTACCAGACGTGTTTCCAGAGCACTTCCAGGCAGGTGTGCTCCAAGAGGTTTGTCAACTCCTCCACCATGGTCCCGTCAGATTCCCATTTCCTCTTGGTGATCTGGGCGGCGCCATCGGCCGCCACAAAGCTCTTGGATCCCAGTTCGAAGGAGATGAAATCCTGCCCGTCATAGCCTTCCCGATGGGATCCACGGACGCTCCCATCGGACAGGAGCTCGCAGCCGGAATCCTTCTGCAGCGTGTGGAGACCTGGGGGGTGGAATTGGATCCAGAGCGACCCATGGAAATGTGTCCCAGCCCCACAGGGCCCCATTGCAGCCCTACGGAGTCCCATAGTGTGATGAAGATCCACAGATCCCGTCCCAGCCCCTTGGAGCCCCATGAATCCCCATCCCAGCCCCACAGGTCCACAATCCCAGCCCCACAGATCCTAGTCCCACAGATCCCCCCTTCCCCAGCTCCCCCCACTCACCCCCGCTCTGCTTGTACCGGATCTGCAGCGTCTTCAGGTCATCGGGGTCCTTGTGCTGGTACACATTGTTGATCCGGGTCTCCGTATCCCAATATCCCGGCTCAGCTCCGGCCGCCAGCCACAGAGCCTGCGGCTCCACCCGGCCCCGCTCGCTGTCGTAGAGCACGAAGGGGGTCCCGTCCACAAACGCCACGGCCACGTACTGGGGGAGCCCCGGGCCGGGCTCCGACACCACCACTCGCAGGTAACGAAGGGAGTGGAGAACTGGGGGGACACAGAGATCTAAGGGGTCTGGGGGTCCCACAGTGAGAGACTGGGGAGCCAGGGGGGCTCACGGGTAAAGGAAAGGGGGAACTGGGAGAGCTGGGAGAGCCAGAAAGGGGCTTGGGAGTTCCAACGTCAAGGAAAGAGGGATGCAGGGACAGGGAGAGGTGGGATAGGGGTTCCAAGGGGTCCCTGTGCCCAGGAAAGGGGGTCCCTGTGCCCCAGTGCTGGGGAAAGGGGGGTCATGGGGTGGGGAAACCCGGGATGGCAGGGAATGGGGGGTCACAGGGGTCCCCTGTGTTCTGGAAAAGGGGAGCTTGGGGATGGAAAAGGCAAGAATGGAGCTCCAGGGGGTCCCAGGGTCAAGGAAAAGGAGGTGTGTGGGGTCTGGGAGAGGCTGGATGGCCAGGAAGGGGATGCAGGGGGGTACTGGTGCAGGATAAGGAGGAGTATGGGGATCCCAGTGCACAGGGATGGAGGTTTGGGGGGGGTTTGCTGCCACATAAGGGGGTGTAGGAGGGTCCCTGCACCCGGGGAAGGGGGTCCCAGTGCCCAATAGGAGCATGGAGAGGGTCCCAGTCCCAGATAAGGGGTTCAGGGGGATCTGGGTGCTGAATAAGGAGGTGCAGGAGGGTTCCCATGCCCAGGAATGGAGGTTTGGGGGGTCCCAGGGTCAAGGAAAGGCGGTGAGGGCACTGGGAGAGGCAGGATGGAGGTTCAGGGGGTCCTGTGCCCAGGAAAGGGGGGTACAGTGGTCCCCAATGTTGAGGAAAGTGGGGTCTGAGAGGTGGGAAAGGCAGGAATGGGGGTCCAGGGGGTCCCAGTATCGAGGAAAGGGGGGTCATGGGATGGGGAGACCCAGGATGGCCGGGAAGGGGGGGCCCGGGGGTCTTTGGTGTAGAAGAAATGGGAATGGGGGCTGGGGAAGGCAGGAATGGGAGTCAGGGGGTCTTAGGGTCAAGAAAAAGGTGTCTAGGAGAGGTGGGATGGCTGGGAAAAGGGGTGCAAGGGGATATTGGTGCAGGATAGGGGGGCCCAGGGGGGCACTGGGGCTGGGAAAGGGGGATTTCAAGGGGTCTCAGAGTTAAGGAAAGGGGGGGAAGGGGCTCGGGGAGGGAGGATGGGTGGTCCAGGGTGTCCTTCTGCCAAGGAAAGGGGGGTCCTGCTGCTCCCAGTGTCGAGGAAAGGGGGGGTCACGGGGTGGGAGACCCAGCATGGCCAAGAATGGGGGTCCTGGAGGTCCGCGGTGCTGCGGAAAAGAAGGGCTGGGGGCGGGGAAAGGAGGGAACGGGGATCCAGGGGGGTCCCGGTGCCGGATGAGGGGGTGCAGGGGGGTCCCTGCGCACAGGAACGGGGGTTTCAGGTGGTCCCGGTGCTGGATAAGGGGATTCAAGGGGGACCCAGTGCCCAGGAATGAGGGCCCCACTTACCCTCCGTGGCCCCCGCCGGGGCCCTCAGGAGCGGCCCCAGGACCCCCAGGAGCGGCCCCAGGACCCCCAGGAGCGGCCCCAGCCCCAGCGCCGGAGCCATGGCGCTGCTCAGATGGCCCCGCCCACAGCCCGGGCCCCGCCCACAGAGCCGCCTCCGGCCCCGCGATTGGCGCCGCTATTTCCTGACCACCAATGGCAGCACGATGTGCTCGTGACGTCAC